TCTCGGTTTCATTAGCACCTCCGGTTGAACTGGAACCCGGTTAATCAAGCGTTTATTTCTTATATGTTGTCGCTTTCCCACACAGCCACGAATGTCATTTAGTTACAAAGTAGGCAGGAATTTAAGCGCCAACCATATTTTGGTGTGGAAATGCACATTTATATTTTACACTAATTCGACTACGTTACTTATATTAAGATAGAGTAGGTTTAGATACTACTAGCAGATCTTGGATAAGATCTACATTCTTCCTATTTAAATATAAAATACTCCGTACTATGGTACCTCCCGTTGTGATGCCTTCCAGTTAAAGCACCTTCATGGCGGGAAAACGTTAGATAATGTACCAATTATACGTTTCGACTAAATGGTGAACTTGCGAAAATGAGGCCTGACTACATCTAGGGCATTTACAGTAGCTTTCAGACCCAAATGTGAGTTTATTGATGGTACAAAAGGTGCATATTAGGTTAGATACAATGGAAGATGACAACCAGTCGTCAAGGTGCCTTGTCTGTGTGTCCATGGAGGTATGGTGAATTCAGGAGGTGAGCCATTCTGCTTCTGATGCAACCGATAACGATAACACCGCTCGTGGGGGCGAACTGTTGGCGGCCATCATGAAGGCAAAGTGGTCCCACTTTAAACTTGTCATCACGACTCTTTCCAAGACCCTCAAGAGCGTGTTAGACGGACAGTCTATCAGCGAGATCTACCACATCAAAGGACCAGTTATCCCATCCTTGACCGATATGGCTGCAGCTCATAACTTCGAGGGTCGCCGAACCGCCAAGTTGAACAGGTCACGAAGTTCTGATACGAATGCTTTAACGAGAAGCCTCAGATCGAATTTTTCTCGAGAGACGAAAGGCAATTGTGAAGTACCAAAACGATACTGAAGGATCAAGACCATGTTATTTGCCCTACAGGCTCATTTTTGTGCATCTGCCACCACGATCTTGGGTCAGGCGTCCTTTTTGATGTGTATCATTGTCGAATGAAGTAAGAATAGAAATTATTGCTGACTTTCATTTTGTAATACCATTCGTCCAAAAAGGCTATCCGTTGGATTCGAACTGTGGCTGGGCGGACCGCAAAGCGAACAAGTGGTCAGAGTCACGAGTGCATTTTCGAAATAAGTAGACTATGAGAAGGTGAGTTAAATGCTGATAGCTGAATTTTTCTCACAATTAGATGACTAGACCTCAGCATGCCATTCAGTTGAATATCATTTAGCCTTGCCCTCCAAAAGTTCATCTCATGCAATCGGGACCAATAGTTTCGAATGCTACTTATATCGAAATTAAGTAGCATCATCGATTGCAATGGCAAACACGTATTCGCGTGATCGGCAGATCTACTATGAAAATGTGAATTGCGAAAAGCCTAACCTGTCTGGAATATCCATCATATCTGCCCTGTGACTCACTGGCGACCGAGCTCGTCGAGTGAAGTAGTACTTACGATCCGGTACCGAGTTCCGTCGGGAGTACTAAGTAGAAATCGTAGTCCAGTCCAGCCTAAATAAGACAATATTTTGGCAAGTAAATCTAAGTCAAATTCAACAGAATCCTGAGGCCTTCTTCTCGAGGTGTTTGGGAAAAAGGGAAATATCCGTCTTTAAATCACATCAAGCGACCTAGGCTGGCCAAGTTCTAATTCGTGAGCAGATTCATAGTCTCCCCATTGCTCCACATGTGATTACACACATTTATGGGGATCCCTCTCGAAAGATGAGGCAGAACGAGTTCTGTCTTCTCCATGTTGGTGCGCCTCTTCCGCCTGCCACATGGAAATGGCTTCTCCCGCATGACGTTCTTATAGGGAGTAGATAATATTATTGAATCATATACTCCCCCATTATAGAGAGTAGATACTATTATTAACTCTATAAGGATATAATATATAATGATTTGTCATATACTCCCTCCTTATAGGGATTAGATACTATTATTAAATCTATAAAGATATAATAAATAATGATGTATCATATACTGCCCCTTATAGAGAGTATATAATATTTTTAAATCTATAAAGATATAATATATAATAATGTATCATATACTCCCACCTTATAGAGAGTATATACTATTTTTAAATCTATAAAGATATAATAAATAATGATGTATCATATACTGCCCCTTATAGAGAGTAGATACTATTTTTAAATCTATAAAGATATAATATATAATTATTTATCATATATTCCACCCCTCTTATAGAGAGTAGATGCTGTTATTAAACTAAAAAAGTCCAAAAACCTCGGTTTTTATAAAATCTGTTTCTGTGTGGAAGGAGTTGTTTTGATGATTCTAGTATAAGATTATAATTAGTTTAAATCCTGTTAGAAAACAAACCCACCACCTACTTGAAATAAAATTTGTAAGCAAACAACCGCATAATTGGATACACGTAAATTGTTGTGTAATACTACTACCTACGTGTAATTTTGTTGGCTTGCATAAAACTATATTAAACAAACCAATTTAGTTTAACCTAAAAACCTTAAACTAAGAAAGTCCAAAAACCTCG